TTTGATCGGTAAAGATGGAATTTCTGGCAAAAAATGCATCTAATGAAAATTGTTCTACCAAACACTAAAACTAGAGCTCTTTTTCGATAACCAAGTTGGTATCATCATAAGATGATGCTAACTTGTCTCCTATTGATGTTAAATTGGTAACAAAATTATAGTAGACAAAAGTGCTGCAGTTCTGGTGTGTCGCAAATGTGCTCTCATTAGAAGAATTGTGATATATTACAGTTTTCTAGCTTGTACCATACTCAATATTTTTGATCGCCAAGAATCATGCCAATATTCAATACATGATATCGTAGTATTCTGGTTAATGTATATTTTAGTTGAATCCTTCCATTCTAGCTTAAACATTTTTGAATAGTGCAGTGAAAACAAAGATTCGATATACTCTGCATACATTTTTGTATTTTGATTTGATCAGTAATTAGCTGAATTGTGTTTTTTTCGAAAAATGTTTAATTCTAACATTGACTGTTGTCAGTTCTGAATATTACTGTAGTTTTTTCCCAACATCAAATCGTTATTTTTAACACCTCGACACGTGTTTCGATCACCAAGTGATCATCTTCAAAGAGGAAGATTAAAACTAAAAACTTTCCTCTTCAACATCAAATCGTTATTTTTAACACCTCGACACGTGTTTCGATCACCAAGTGATCATCTTCAAAGAGGAAGATTAAAACTAAAAACTAGTGCGAGCTAATCCTATTTATGCTATAAAGGTAACTCATATAGGCCACCCATACAGGTATACCAACCTAAATTAATTTTACAATTTTGCCTTATCTATTATTTTACAATATATGTTTATATAAAACAATTTTCAGCTATATTAAAATCAATTTCACAATATTGCCTATCCAAATTTATTTTTGCAATGTGTCCTTATCTAGTAATCAGTAAACCCAACAACATTATTTTATTTTATTTTTATTTTAACAAGCTATATAGTATGCTCTTTAGTATAGGTCCGTCATCGTTATTCATAATATTATTGTGTTTACTTATTTCTACACTCTCATAAATTTAACATAATTTGTCATATTTTTGAAAAATGTTGGCAATACCAAATAGAAATTACATGGGGTCTGCATAGCACCACATCAGTAGTTATGTTCCAGAAAGTACACGTCAGTGGTAGAAGGTTAAAAAAAAATTCTCAACTTTTTAGTTTGATGTTCTTTAAAAGCGTGTTTTTTAAACTATATTTGCTATGTAGTGCATCAGGTTCAGCGAAATTACCCAGTAACTACTTCTGCATAGTCCTGTGAATATGCCGTTTCAGCTCCAATGAATCTCGTTTAATTTGAGTTGGGTCATTATAACATCCATAACTACGTCAAACCGATAAATATTCGTTTGCGTGATGAAATTAAAAATGTTGTCATTGGCAAGTGCGCATTACCCAATAATGGGAATAATTCGATTAGAATAATGTACGATCGCATATAAAGTCGCATTATCTTTGGCCGAGATATAATAGTGATTAGCAATTGAGGTAGGGTGGTCTCCGGCGTTGTCGAAGGGAACCCAAAGAGTCGTGAGGGTATCGTGGGAAACACACTTTTCTGGTCGTCACACCGCTGCCACGCGCCAGCCGAACTTTCAACAAAAACGCATTGTTCCTTTTCTATCAGGGACTCGGCTTCCAAACAAGAATGCTCAGCTACCCATTCGTAATTGTTGCTAGCGCTAGGCAAATAAGGCTATCGAATTTACCTTGCCAGCAAAGAATAAGTTTCATAGAAATTGTCTACCTAGTCGTGTGGCAAAGTGTGTGAGACGTTGCGGCGTTTTGTTGCGGTGACTTCAACTGAATTATCTCCTTTTTTCTGGCCTTTTTTTTGTTTTTGTATATCAGCACGAGGTAATGAAACGACTGGTTTTCCGGTCTCCAGCTAGTTTTTGAAAAAAATTCAATTATGTTCACGTTTTTCTTTGCTGATCACGAATCTGAAATGAAATAAGTAAAAAAAATTGCATAGTAAACGGTTTTATTGAAAACAATAATAATGATGTAGATAATGTACTAAAAACTACGACACTCATCAGTTCCTGGACTGAACACGACGGCGATAACCTTCTTCGATTTCTATTCGTCACCATAACATGACTTAAAATTTAATTTTATGACTCTTAGCACAAGCGGATTTAGACAACACAGATCCACTGGCACTGGCGTTGATGTGCTAATGAAGCATGTAACTGATGCTCTTGTTGACCATGATCTGTTATTATATTAATTGGAAATTTATGGTGTGAGAAGGGCAGCATTGAATTGGATTGTAACTTATTATTCCAGTAAAAGATATACTGCCCCCTACCTTCCAGCCAATCATAAAACTCGGTTAGTAAAAATCATCCAATATGAACCGCCAATTCTACAGTCCAGTTGGACTAGATCGCAGCCAGTTCATTTCTATGTATTGGTTGTTTTGGCCTTTGAGAGTGCCAACAACTTTAAGTGTGCACAATATCGTTTACTTCGACTATAATAATTGGATAGCCAACCAAGGACCCAACAGTTGGCCGGCCAGGTCGCCAGACCCAACGCATATGGAGTTTTACCTCTGGGGAAGGTTGAACGCTCTTATTTTTGAATTGCCGATCAATTCTAGATTCGGAAGCGGCAGTGATATAAAGTTTTTCTTCTCTCACTCCTATTGAACTAATTAATTCGGCAAAAAACGTTCAGAAAGGTGTCGCCTGTGTATATAATAGGGAAGCCCAAGCACAGGGATTTCGGGATTTACTAAAGCGCGGCAGATTAATATACAGGGGGATACCTTGTATCCGGTTAAGTACCTCCACCAAATATGAGCCCCATATATAAGGCCGCCCGTGAAGGATAAAGGATCAGATTAGTAAAAAATTTGATCATCAGAAATTCTCTAGCGCGTCAGATTAAGGTAGGGTGAGTTAATTACAAGTTGAAAAGTGTATATTCCAGTAATCTGACAATTTGAGAGTGACGTAAAGAAAGGGGAGGGGAGCAAAGTTGTAAAAAAATAACGTCATTTCGACATTCTTGAGCGTAGCTAATTTTTTTTATTTTGAAGGAGAGAGACAATTCAAGGGTGACGAAAAATATATAATCTGACGATTTCCGCAAACCGAAATAACAAAAATTCGTCAATAAAGTTTAATACGTGCAACTGTGTGATACCTATATTCCCCTCTCCGCGTTTCTATTCCTCTTTCACTTTTTCTCTATCTATTACTCTCTCACTCCGTCCCCAGTCTGAATTCTGTTGCCATGACACCATCACAGCTGATCACAGAGACTCGTTCGTGATGAAGATGAAGATGATGATTAATTAATCAATTAAACATAAAGATGAACCATATATATCTTTTAAAATGGCGATTGTTTTTGCACACTATAATGAAAAAATATATTTTCGAAAAACATGCTGTAACTCAGAAACGATGATTAGATTAGATTAGATTTCTTTATTTCCTTCATTATGACGAACATTTACATTTCGTATAGGAATTGTCAAAGCACATACACATATTCAACATGAAACAAGTAAATAAATAAATACGAGGTGAAACAAATACAAATATTCAGATAAAATATGAGTAATCATGAGGCAAAAAGATTAAAATATTCATTCAGTGTATAAAAACAATGGTCGAACAAAAACGACTTCAGTCTATTTCTGAATTCCGTTGGGTTTTTGGTGGTTTTTATTATATTTGGTAATTGATTGAAAATTTTAGGTCCCATTAATTTAGGAGAATTTTGAGTAATTTTATATTTAGGGGTCTTAGTGTATATAAGTCCCTTTTGACGTGTATCAAAATTTCAGGGTGAAATCGGTTTTGTTCGTAAACACATAGACGCATAACTGAAAAATATATACATATACACACTAGAGTTAAAAGTTTATATCTTTAAAAAATGATTTTGCAGGAGTCTCTCTGAGAAATATTAAATATACATCGAAGTATTGCTTTTTGTGCAATAAAAACATTCTTGCTCATTGTTGAGTTGCCCCACAAGCAAACACCGTAACGCAACCTGGATTCGACCTGAGCATAATAAACCTTCATTAGTTGGTCTTTATTAAGAACAACCCTCGAATTTCTTAACATATAAGTTACTGCGCTTAACTTGGATACTAGCTGATCACAATGGGCATTCCAATTTAAATTTTCATCGATATGTATACCTAGAAATTTTGCAGTGTGAGTAGTTTGCAGGTTTGTGTTACTGATATTCAGATCAAGTGTTTCGACTTTGTTTTGGTAATTATGAAAACGAATTACTTGAGTTTTTTTGGTATTTAAAACTAGATCTTGATTTTTGAGATATTTGGAAGTCAGAGTCATAACATTTTTATATTTATTAATCAAGATATCTGTTCGTTTATCAGATACAAGTAACGATAGATATATCATCTGCATAGGCATAAAATAGGGGGTATGAAATTTCTCTAGCTATATTGTTTATATACAGTATGAATAGAATCGGTCCCAGGATGGATCCCTGTGGCACTCCAGTCTGAACCGTTTTCAATTCGGATGTGGAAGAGCAGATAGTATCTCCATAATCAAATGATAGATATCGATATGCGGTTTTTACCATTCAGTTTGTCATAAAATTTGACCCTCACTCACATCCATCAGTTTCCATTATTCTGGTTTGAAAACATGAGTTTCCCTTTAAAAGTGTCCTATTTGGCCCACTCTGTACATACCGTGTATTGTTGCTTCTTCAGAGCCGGTCTACTCCTTTTTTACTTTCTTGTTTTTTCAACAAATAAACAGTTTTTCACATTATGAGTTTTGGCAAGGAGCAGCCAAGTTGTTGGTATCATTTCCCGTATTTGTACATTACTCTTGTCCGACACTGTATACTCAAATATTTCTTAGGTGATCAAAATATAGAATCACACATTCATTACCACGTTAATAGGCACGACTAATATTCGCGAATATGACCCACCGCAATTAATTATCATAATTTTGTCCATTATCGAGTTATTAATGGATCATTATTGTTTCAGATGTGGATCGGGTAACATCGCCGGTATTCGGCCTGGTCTTGATTTGTGATTTGAGACAGCGGTGCGCTGCTATCTTCATCGCGTGCTAGCAAGATTTCCGCATCAAAGAGCTTAATTTTATATGGTGGTGCTACTTTCTTCAACTTGAACCCGTCAGTAAAATGTCGGGTGATGTCCAGCCCAGAAAAAGAAAAGACAAGAAACGAAGGAAAGGTACTACACATGCTTTCGTATTTATTTTTAGTTCGAGTTCGTACGACGAATTTCTATTTATATTTAAGGCAATTATATAAAGCGCTTGGTTTATTTTTTTATAGACGATGAACCCGTTCCTGTACAAACACATACCCCCATTTACACGAGTAATTTGGTAAATGATGATGTGAATATCCATGTCCACAAAGAAAGTGGCACAGGGGGTGGGATATGTGCCAAATTGGTGTTTTTCGTCCTGCTTTCCGCCCTTGCTGTGCTCATCGGGCTGATCATCACTGAACATCGAGGACTGACTGATCGTAAGCCAACCAGACTTGTTAAACATGCTTTATTTTTATTGTTGTTGATGCTGAGGACATTGCTTGTATTGTTTATTACTAATATCGAAACTGACGTGAAAACACGTGCCAAGTTGAAGCTGACTAGACCGTTTTTACGAGATTCTTTTGAATAACTTTTTTCGAGATCAATTGCCCCAACACCCAACTGATATTTTTGCACTCGACGCGCGTTTCGCCAACAAAGTTAGCAGAAAATTGATACCTAGTCTATAGTAAAACCAATAATGATTGAGAGTAAAGCGCGTTGTCATATCTAAATTTTACGTTACCAGTTTATAGCAGAATCAATAAAAAAAAAGTTATTCAACTTTCACACCAAAGGTTCCAATCTCATCGAGATTCTTTTGGTATAACTTCAAAAAATGAGCAAGAAATAAAGGTTTTTCACTGCAGTTTCTTTGTGTGAGTACCAGGAACTGTTTTATGAACCGTTTCGTTTTATTCGACCCCACAATTATCAAGCCCAACAAAAAAACACAAAAATTTTGGACAAAAAAGAATATATTTTTCAAACATAAGCTCCTTGCAGCTCTATGAACTTTTCCCAACGACGTTCAATGATTTTGATACCGTTTACTTGAAGGTGGTTGACAATGTTTCATGGTGCATTTCATTAGTTCTGACTTGCATTGTATAATATGATATGATATGACATGGAAGAAGCACTTCAAATCATACAGCGGAATCTATCCGAAGACGAGGACCTGGAAGATAGAACGATCTTTCCTATAGAAGTAATTATGGACCTACTAGGATGATGTGTACGAAACTGCTATTTCCAAGTGAAGGACGAATTCTTTACGCAAGATGAGGGACTGCCAATGGGATCGCCACTTTCACCAGTTATAGTCAAGATATATATGGTGTCGTTTGAAACTTGACCATTGGGGACAGTATCTGAATCACGAATCCAACCACCATCAATCGACTAAGAGAGAAATCATTAAGATTCTAGTAGACCATGCTTTCGGGCTCTGTAATACAAAGGAAGGTCTCGAAAAAGAACTAGGCATAATCAAAAATGACCTTCAACGAAATGCTTAGTCCAAAGTGATGGTAGAACAGGCCTTAGCTAGAAGACATCAAGAGCCTCACAAGGAAGAGAAGCCGCCACAACAACCAGTACTTGCACTTCACTACATCAGAGGATTGTCGGAAAGGATAAGAAGAATTGGGTCGAAGTATAACATCAGAACCTGCTTCAAATCTGGGAACACTATCCGTAGCACCCTCACGAAAACCAGGTGACCAAACGCGGACTGGGATTCCTAAAATTGCATTTACCGGATACCCTGCGAGTGCGAAGAATCATACATCGGTGAAACTAAGAGACCATTGAAAGTTCGCATTGCCGAGCACAAGAAACACACATTGAGGAGAAACTAGAAAATCAGGAATAGCAGACCATATTTGGACTCATCAACATAATATCAAGTGGGCTCAAGCTGAAATCATCCACAAAGAGGAACACTGGTTTAGGAGAAAATTCAAAGAAGCCACGTATGTACAGTGTCACCATTAAAGTGCGCACCATATGGGAAACTTTTTTTTCGAAAAGTTTCAATGAAGTTTAATTTCGGCACTTGTTCGTGCTTTAAATTTAACTCAAAATGATGCGGCCAACTGCGACCCACTGACGTTCAGTGTTTGTCAAATTCAACTTTTTTTTTTGAAAAAAATTGAAAAACTGCATTTCTAGATCGAATTTAACAAACCTAGTTAGTGTTTATAAATAATCTGTAAATACAGAATATTGAAATTTTAATGTAATTTCAACTCCAGTAATTTTATTAATACTTATTGCAGTTTTTGAGTTGTGTCTGCTTTTTCAAAATTGAAGGTACTGACGTTTGTTTAAGAAAATAGCCAAGTGATTGAAACTCTGCACCAGTCATGTTAAAATTTATATAGCACATTTTTAATTTCTCTCTAAAAATGTCCGTATAAGTAAAAATTTATCAGAAAAGTTAAAGTCCATGATGGGTTTGTTATGTATACATGAATTGATGACAATCAACCGAACTTGTTTTTTAAAACAAAGGGGATATCTGTCAAAAATAAGCAGAACGTTAACTTTATCCTACTTGCATGAAATTTGGCATATGGATATAAAATTGCCGTAGACACAACTTTTTTAAAAAACTTTTGGTTAAATTAGATCTGGAAATGCACTTTTTCAATTTTTTTCAAAAAAAGTTGAATTTGACAAACACTGAACGTCAGTGGGTCGCAGTTGGCCGCATCATTTTAAGTTGAATTTAAAGCACAAACAAGTGCCGAAGTTGAACTTCATTGAAACTTTTCAAAAAAAAAGTTTCCCATATGTCCAGTCATCACACAGAGATTTCAAATCATATCAAACAGACAATGGATGTCCGAACTAATGAAATTCAAGTTCGATACCGATTTTATAATAAGAACTGTTTTACTCCTCAAATAAACCGAGGACATCACTTATTCATCGTTGAAAAATCTTTGACCACTTCACAACATTGTTGGGATAAATTGTACCCTCCTGTAGTATCTATTTTGTTTATCTAGCCCCTTTGAATTCATTAAGGCCGTACCAGATATTTCGACAAGCAGAAATTAAATGAAAAGTAAGAAGGCTGCCAAAAGTTAAGAGATACATTAGATCTTTCTTTCTATCATCACTAGTGAGCGAGGCCCTGAAAAACATACCTAAGTCTATACTTGTACAATATTTTATAATAATCTATTTTGTGTGTCCACAAGTACTCTCATTCGATTCTCCCTGATTTTTTTGAGAAGTTGGAAACTCTTGTTCATCATGAAATTGCATACTGAAATTGAAGACTATCATCAACTGGAATCTTTTTTTTATATTCAATTTTGTTTCAAGTTGAAACCGCTGATTCCGAATCCAAATTTTCCCAAATTTTCGAAGGCTGGATAGATTCAAGCTCTAACAGTCATGATGATCATGACTTGGAAGATGCTCTAGATGCCGACCATGATGACGATCATGACGACGATCACGAAGAGGTAGATCTTTCGGAGGGTGAAGAAGATCATCAAGCAAGTGAAGAGGATGAAGAACATGAACACAGTGACGAGAATGAGGAACATCAACCTAGCGAGGAGGATGATGAGCAGGAAAGAAGCGAAGAAGAGAACGAAGAAGGTGAGAATGAATCCGCTGAAGAATATATCGAAGATAATGGAGATGAGGACGAGGAGACTGATATGGATGAGGAAAAATACAGCGAAGAAGAAAACGAGGTCGTTCAGGATAACAATAGCGATGAAGAGGTTGCAGATGACAGAGACAACGAGGATGAAGGAGAATACGCTGAGGACCAAGATGAAGTGAAGGCTTCCGACGAAGAAGAACAAGAAGGTGGCGAAAATGATGATGAGGAAGAACAGAAGCAAGACGAGAAAGACGATGATGAAGTAGATGATGAAGAAGTGGACGAGGAGGAAACTTTTGAAAGTAAAGAAGAGGAAGATGCTTCAACGAAAAAAGCTACGAGTTCTCTTGAGAAAGACACATTGCGAAAAGGAGAGGTAACATTTTTTCATCACAGTTGAGGATGGTTCAATTTTGTAACTTTTCAGGAGAAATTATCCGATAAGAAGTTCAGCAAACGGAGTAGTGAAGTTGAAAGCAATCCAGCAGATGATCCCGACGAAACATCTAATGGTGAGTACTTGTTCCAGTATGTATATGTTTATTATCGTCTTCGGTGTATGTGTGTATGTTACCCATTAGCAAGAATCATTTTCATTAGTATCTAAACGAAAATAATACAAATTTTCAATGTTCCATAAAATTATATTATTCAGTTATAGAGCACCCCAAAGAAGTAATTCGTATTTTGAATTGAACAATCATGAAAAAATTTGTTCAAAGTTCAAAGAAGAACTAGTAAAATTGGTACGTCAGTTTGAAATTTATGATTTATAGATAATATGGAATCGGTATTTCAACAGTAAAGATTTGTGATTTGATCGGTAAAGATGGAATTTCTGGCAAAAAATGCATCTAATGAAAATTGTTCTACCAAACACTAAAACTAGAGCTCTTTTTCGATAACCAAGTTGGTATCATCATAAGATGATGCTAACTTGTCTCCTATTGATGTTAAATTGGTAACAAAATTATAGTAGACAAAAGTGCTGCAGTTCTGGTGTGTCGCAAATGTGCTCTCATTAGAAGAATTGTGATATATTACAGTTTTCTAGCTTGTACCATACTCAATATTTTTGATCGCCAAGAATCATGCCAATATTCAATACATGATATCGTAGTATTCTGGTTAATGTATATTTTAGTTGAATCCTTCCATTCTAGCTTAAACATTTTTGAATAGTGCAGTGAAAACAAAGATTCGATATACTCTGCATACATTTTTGTATTTTGATTTGATCAGTAATTAGCTGAATTGTGTTTTTTTCGAAAAATGTTTAATTCTAACATTGACTGTTGTCAGTTCTGAATATTACTGTAGTTTTTTCCCAACATCAAATCGTTATTTTTAACACCTCGACACGTGTTTCGATCACCAAGTGATCATCTTCAAAGAGGAAGATTAAAACTAAAAACTAATGTTCATATAAAACAATTTTCAGCTATATTAAAATCAATTTCACAATATTGCCTATCCAAATTTATTTTTGCAATGTGTCCTTATCTAGTAATCAGTAAACCCAACAACATTATTTTATTTTATTTTTATTTTAACAAGCTATATAGTATGCTCTTTAGTATAGGTCNACGTGAACTCCCCCTTTATTTTCAACGATATCAGATCGTTTACATACAAAAGAAAGATGATGGGACCAAGAATAGAGCCCTGAGGGACTCCACTATTTATACTAGCTGCAGTTGATAATGAAGTAGGCATTTTAACTATCTGACTTTGAGTTTCTCCATCAATGCCATAATGACACAATTTTCTGAGCAGTATTCCATGATTTACACAATCGAATGCTTTGGATAAATCACAAAACACTGCTACAACTAAATGATTGTTTATATTGCCATTAACTTCGTTCAGAAGGGACAATATGGCATCACTAGTAAACTTTTCTGGTTGGAATCCGAATTGTTTGCAATTTATTGTATTATGTGACATTAAGAAATCAGTCAAACGTTTTTCTACAATTTTTTCTATCAGTTTGGCTAATGAGGGGATAAGACAAATTGGACGAAAGTTTGAGACTTCGTCATAAGTGTTGCCCTTATATAGCGGAATAACTACAGATGTTTCTAGAAAGGTAGGAAAATAGCCAGCTCGAAGGAGTCATTTATAATTATTGCTAAAACAGCCAAAGTCCTTATAGGAAGATTATCAGTTGTATTCATAGATATTTCATCTAATCCAGAAGCTTTTTTGTTAAAATTGTTTTTGTCGTGTCTTTCAATTCTGGTGGAAAGTCATCTTGGTTTTGATCCCTTACCCTTTCGACTGGTATCTTTCAATTCTCTGACATCAGTTGGATATAAAGTTCATTTATCGTTGACAAATGTTTTTTAGAGTCATGAAAGAATCGTATAGAATTACGGTATTATTTATCAGTTTTTCAGCTATGCTGCAGTAAAATTGGTTTAGATCATCTCCAGGTACTGAAGTACAGCTCCGGACTGAGTCATGTCCGGTGGGAGAAATCACATCTGCGTAAAGTTTGAGTCGGTGTGTAACAAAGAAAGTATTTAACACCGCGTGTTTCGATCACCAAGTGATCATCTCCAAGAGGAAGATTGAACGGTCGAGGTGTTAAAATAACGGTTTGGTGTTGGAAAAAAACTCCAGTAATATTAAAGTATATTACACTTTAATATAGACCCATAAAAACGGACAAAACTTTTTAAAAAACCCAAAAGAAATTATGTTCTTAAGTTTTCTCAACTCGTCAAATAATTTCCTGAATAATTGGATCATATGTAGTTATACAAAGTGTCACAGATCTACCCTGAGTCAAATATTGCAACACTCTGTATCGCGATTTTCTTTTATTCTGTACTCAAATAGTTTCGATTACTTGGAAGAAAGTATGATTTCAAATTTTCATTTTCATTCAGTATAGAAAAAAAAACAATCAACCAATACTTTGGTAATCAAACATTATATAACTGAATAGTTCAAATTGGACACTATCTTTCATGTTCTACAGAATAAATAGGTATGTTTCATTTTAAATGTAAACTTGGAACTTGAATCAAATTTTCAGAGACGAAAATGTAATACAGTCGCTCCAGGGCTATTTTGCAAAAGTCATGAAACAGTAGAGTGGTAGATTTTTCGGGACTGTCGGCCGGAGACTGCAGGTTTTAATGCCTGAAATTTCGTCTGAAACTGCGGTGGATACTGGGAAAGGCGATGAAGCAAAGAACCACCATAAGCTACCTGAACTAGTAGTATGCGCTCTAGGAATAAATACAGCACTGCTTTCATTATGCCATCGGCTTCGATGATGTCAACCGCAGTTTTAGACGAAACGTCAACGATAAAAACCATAGCCACTGCAAACAAACCTGGAAATAAGCTATGATGCAACACATTACGAGTATGACGAAAAGTTCAATTCAAACGATATGAATTCTGTATAAGATGAATCTTCTGCAAGTTCTGGTTTGAACATTACATCAGAAAATTGTGAAACGGAATATGCTGAGTTTGGGGAGACTTCAAATGATATACAACTGGATAGTTCTCGCGTCAGCATTGTAGAACTTGAGGAATCTGTCGTATCAGTACCTGTACCTTTTTTCAGCGAATGGTTTTGAACATACGATTACCAGAGAAAGTTGTGAATTTTTTTTAGTAATTTTGACGAGGTTTCAAGTGTCCGAAACCATCGTTGAGTTAAAACTCATTGTTTGTCACACTATGTACCTTTTTTTCGGCGAACACTACATATAAAACTATTGATTTTATTTCAAAAAGTATCTCTGATGTCTCCTCATTTTCTAAATCTCAGTATCACGCATAAGTTTGACCATCGATTTCTGTACGCTCTGTATAATAACTTGAGATTAATTAATACTCGAACCTAGGGACTTCACTTAGATGATAAAATTTTCTGAGATTGGCTGAATTGATAGGTTGTGAAGGATGTTGTCTCTCATTTTGGGAAGAAATAAAAATTCTCTACTCTCTAATCTTATTTCAATACACTTTTCCAACGCTGAAATAAACTATCGATATTCAAATATTTCACAATCTTTTCAGCCGACACGAGTCTGATTGTGTCATTATCAAACTATGAATTTTGTTTCTTCCCAAAACTGACGTTTCCCTGCTTTATGTGAATATGAAATGTAGTTTAACATTGATTTTGAAGTACCTGAGGATGCAGCATCTACAGAAGAAACATCTACACCAACTCCAGATTTGTCTAGAAGAAACACAATAATAGTACCACCAACTTACCAAGAAGTTGAACAAGATATAGAACACGATGATGAAGGTAAAGCACTGGAAACTCTTTCCAAAGTATTTCATGGCGAAAAAAATACAGATACAAATATGTTCAAAAACTTTGTCCAAATACAAACGTTACGTTATTTTTTAGTGGTATTTTGCACAAATGACCTCTAAAAAGCTAGCATAGAGTGACTAACCTGTTTGTCTGCATTCACGTTTCCATCACATTTCATTCTTCTAAACATTTTTCCAAAGATTTTAGAATGTTNGCGACTATCCTAGTCTAGAAATATAGTTAAGGGCAGAAATTGGCCCTTGGAACAAACTGAAAAAATCATTATGGCCCGAAGGCTTCAAAGTTTGGAAACCCCTGATATATGGCATAAGAAAATATGATCAAGTCTCTCGCAAACTGAATGAGTTGAAATGACTTCCAATGAGAGAAAGGTTCAAGTTCCATGCCTTGTGTCTGTTTCACAAAATAATATTGTCTGAAAGCCCAACTTATCTTCATGAGAAAATAATGTTCAGATGATATCCACAATCTTAACATCAGGAATAGAAACCTGCTAATATGTCCTGCACACCTCTTCCAAAGAAGCTTTCAGTTCAATAGGTATAAATTATACCTAAATTCAAAGGATATAATATGATAAAATTAAAAAAATAACTCAATATATTTTTGCTGAACAATGGGGAATGTTCCTCCTGACGAAAATCAAGTAGTTTTCATAGAAGAGCTCTAAAACAATGCATTTTAAACTTATCATTTCAACCTTTTTCTTTAAAAAATTATTTAAACACTTAAAAAAGAGGAATGAAATAATGCATTCAACATTTAAAGGGATTCGTTTCTATTTCACCATTTGGCAACATCGGTTATAGCTAATAAAGGACAATGAATCTGTTACCTGTATGAGACAAACAAAGATGACATATTTCAGAGGCGTGCTGTTCTGTTTACTTATGTTCCGAGTTCCGAGACATTCTGTGACATATGACATTTTGTGCACCTAACCTATCTTCCTCTATATAAATAAATAACAAAACAACTGTTGTTTATGTGGCTTGTGGAGGTGGTATTGAACTATAATTTATATTTTGCCTTAATTGTTGATTTATAAAGATAATTTTCCTTTTTTAAAGTAGAATATCTAGGTACGTATAAATTATTTCAACTTGATATAGGCGCTGTTGCCAATATGTGAATTAGAAACAAATCCCTTTAAAAATTAAAACCCAACATTTGAAACATCAATTTGAATACTTTTCGAAGTAAATTTGAAAAACTCATGAATTAAACTAAACTTTATTCTGTTCAAACTTGCATTTGCTGTAATAACCCAAATTGAGGAACATTCCCCATTCTCTAACATTTTACTCATCTCCTGTTTTTCTCCCTTGTATTTTCTCTATTTTTTTTTGAGTGTGGTCAAACGAATGATTTGTTAGTTAAATGAGAAAATAATGAGTGACCCAAAAAGTTTAGGTTCAGTTTAGGATTAGACAGACTTAGGTTAAGTAGGCTTAGGTTAGGTTAGATTAGGTTAGGTTAGGTTCAAAGTTTTGGGTTGATAAAATAATATTGTAACTATTTGTTTAAAATGGTCTGTCACGAAACTTGAGGAGACAAACCAAATTCTACGCGGGAAAAGTCCCGGCAACAACTAGTTATTTGTCATTCTTTTTTTTTTCAGGCCAATATTCAAATGCGATTATGGTTCACAAATTGGTGATCGATAGATTTCCGAATACACCAAAGTATATGAACGATATGGCGATTACGTATTTGACCATAAACAGGTTCGTTATTATTTTTTATTATTATACAACTGTATTAGTTTGTATTTGGAATATTTTTTCCTCGCAGTAATAATACTGAAACACCTCTAATTGATACTTGAACTTGAGAATTATCGAAAACATGTGTGTTCGCCTGATAAATGTGAAAGGAATAGGTACTATCATCACTATCGTATCATCACTACTGCCACCTTAGCATCTTTTAATATGGGTTTCTAAATCCTGTTAAGCGTTATCGCCTACTGAAAGATACTAAGGTGACAGCAGTGCAACGCGATGTAACAGGTAATAACACTTCGGACAAATATGCTAAGGTGGCAGCAGTGCAACGCAATGTAACAGGTAATAACACTTCGGATAAATATGCTAAGGTGGCAGCAGTGCAACGCAATGTAACAGGTAATAACACTTCGGTCAAAGCTGCTAAGATAGCAGCAGTGCAACGCAATGTAACAGGTAATAACACTTCGGCCAAATATGCTGACAGCAGTGCACTGCATTGTAACAGGTAATAACACTTCGGATAAAGATGCTAAGGTGACAGCAGTGCAACGCAATATAACAGGTAATAACACTTCGGACAAAGATGCTAAGGTAGCAGCAGCACAACGCAATGTAACAGGTAATAACACTTCGGCCAAATATGCTTACAGCAGTGCACTGCATTGTAACAGGTAATAACACTTCGGCCAAAGATGCTAAGGTGGCAGCAGTGCAACACAATATAACAGGTAATAACTTTTTGGCCAATAACAACGCACCAACTAGAAAGGTGGGCTACCTCTCTCAACATGAATACAGCTTACGAACTAGAAATCACTAGTCAGGATGAATAGATCTCTGAAGAAGCCAGCCACTCGTACTGGCGAAACGTTAAGATACAGTTCCAAAACACTACAGCTTTCAAATCCGGACGACGATCGTAACACTGAAATTCTTGGCCGCGAAAGCCTTAACCAATTTATCAAACGTGATTTGTTTTATATACGGGGGCTATTCAAAAAATACGGTTAATGATCAAATTTTGCCGGCTACCTGCCTTCGCTTAGCGATTTTGAACCGACCTCGTAGTCTGCCAAATATTCTGAAAATATTCAAAGAATTCTCGTAGAAATTCATACTGAACTGTAGTGTGCATTTCTATCATTCAATCCCAGTGATCATGATTTTTTTCAGAATAGATGACGCTCGGTCAGTGCTCAAGCAAGTTCTAGCCAAATGGCCAGATGATGGTGTGGCCTTGGTGCATTACGGTTTCATTTTAAAAACTGCTGATAACAAACTGAACAGTGCCGTAAAATACTTGAAAAGGGGGATACTTACCAGAGAGAAAGGTGTACTTGATGGCAGGTTCTTCTTTCACTTAGGAGATGCCCTCACACGATTAGGAAAAACAGAAGAAGCTATGAAGGTAATTTGAAAATGTTTTATACAGTGACAGTGTGTTAAGCCAGTCAATAACTTTTTGAATATGTACCAAAATCTATTTTTATGTTTTGTTAAGTTATTTGAAATGGGATGTAGGAAATTTCAAAGAAAACAAACCACTGAAAACATTTGATTGATGAATAACCGAATCACAAATGTACCGAAACTCCAATTCATGGAAATACAAAATTCACTATGGTACTAGTATTTTTTCGCTCAGTTTTAAATTTTTTAGGTTCTTTCTATTTCTTTTGAATGCTTCATTTCAATTGGTAATTCTTTTTCGAAGTCTTTCTCTTCCAGTTTTTTCCCTCACCCCTACAAGTTTAAGTTGTCAATTCTAAGATGACAGTTTTTGTTTTCTTGTTTTTCACTTCCTTTCATATATTTTATTTTTTCATTTACATACAGTCCATATTTTTTACTTCAGTTTCTATGTCGTTAATTGCTTTGATCACACTGGTTTTTGTTTTCCATATTATTACTTCATCGTCGGCAAACACAGTTATTTGGTTATGAAGAGATAATGTTCAATTACCACTCACGACTTCAAAAGGGAGGGCATTGAGATCTATAAGTCTCAACAATTTCAACAGAAGAGAAGTAGGTATTCGGGTCAACAAAACTTGTTATCCAGAAAGCCAGAAATGGACTAGAATACAACTTCGATCGACATCCCACCAGTAGCATACCTGTGAACAACCTGGACCAATCAGAACGACCTAGTAACAGCGCAGACCAATCTTAACGACCAGCGAAAGTACTCACCAATCAGGAGTGAGCATTTGCATGGACACCTTGCCTTCAGCGTCAGTCCCCACCATCACCCCCACCAGTCTGTAAAACAATAAATATGGGGGAGCACGTCGCTTGCCAGTCAGTCGTTGCTGAGACTTCGAGATATAAAGTTCGTCGTCGTAGTCAACGCATATACCACTTGATGATGTCTGCTGCAAAAGCAAACAAAATGTTAGGTACTGCAGATTTCATTCAACCACGGTCTACCAGCCCTACCAGCCAGAATTTTGTTTTCTTTAATCATGACTCCGGCCGTGAAAGCCCATGTTTTTTGTGTTCAGATATTTTTGGCAGTTCTGGTTCTGCAATCAAGTTGAATAGTATTATAAAAAATTCAGTCTCCTTGCTTTACTCTTTGGTTCGTTTTAAACTTCTCTGTCATTTCTCCTAAAAGTTTCATTCTTCATTTTCGTTTCGTCCAATGTAGTCAGAGATTCTTCAATGCTTCGTTCATTCTGTTTCTGTTTATACTGTCAAAGGCACTTTTGTAGCACCGTTCAAAATATTGAGATATAAAATCAAGTTTGAAGTATACTATCCGGTGTATGTTCATTGCATTTTTTCAATACTTCTTAGAGAACTTTCATACATTCGTTTCATTCACAGCATATTCATATATTTCTTGTATGTACAGGTAAGACCTTATGTTGCAGGTGTACGAAGAAGGCACTAAACACAAACTTTTTCTGTCCAAATACCAAAGATCATTGTACAACGTACCTCGATTAACTGGCAAACCATGGTGGCAGTCGAAAGACCTTCCATACCTCCCTTCTTTCGAACTTCTGAAGAAGAACTGGAGGAAAATCAGAGAAGAGGCGTTGTCTGTACTAAACGTGAAAGGTTATTTTCAAGATGAATCCGAAAATTTGAAAGACACCGGTGACTGGAAACAGTTTGAACTGTACGCGCGCGGTAAAAAAAATTCTCGAAATTGTGGAAGATGTCCCTTCACGTGCAGCATCTTAGATCAGATCCCGGAAGCTGCAGGCTGCAAAAGAGGTCAAACAAAATTTAGCGTCATGCATCCTGGTACTCATATTTGGCCCCATTGCGGCCCCACAAATTGTAGACTGAGAACGCATTTGGGTCTGAAAGTTCCTCCAGGTACTTACATCAGGGTGGCCAGTGAAACAAGGTAAATTTAATGAAATTGAATATGCTTTTTCAATTATTCAACATTTTAAATTAAATACATTTACTGTGGCATGGAGTAATAATTTTCCAACAGTCACCATAAATTGTGAATCCTATTTGTGGATTCACATTATTTTGAGCCTACAGGACATAGTCCAATTACAGAGCAGGAAATAACAGAGTATAATTAATACATCATCAACAGGTGACTATATAGACTACACCTTTTATATTTATAATAGGTGACAAAACAATTATTTTAGGAAGTGGAATTTTATATCTGACAGTTTGCAACTGAATATATCTAAATTATCGCTAACAGAATTTGTCACTTTACACATGGTATGCTTTTGATAATTTTATAGGTTAGTGCAACACTATAATATTCACGCCTTTTTTCGATACTGCAAAAGATATGCTTTTGTAGCAATTCAGAGTGGATTGTTCCTATTGCAGGATAAATGTCATCAGTTTTTAGGCTTAGCAGTTTAAAAAATCGTCGTTGAATTGCTTCTACTCTATCAATATGATATTGATAAAAGGGGATCCACACAACTGACGCGTATTCTAACTTTGATCTAATGAAAGCATAGAATAAAGTTTTTAAGGTCGAAGTTTCTTTGAAATCACTACTGTTACGTGCAATTAATCTGTACAAACGACAAGAGGATGTTACAACATTATTCATATGCCTATTAAATGATAGTGTAGTGTCAAATGTGACGCCAAGATCAGTAAATGTTTCTGGTCTCACCAGGGAAACGTTTTCTATTGAATAATCAAAGATCAAGATGTTTGTTTTCAAACTGTAGGACATGACCTTACATTTATCCGGATTTAGCGACAAGTTATTTCGATAACACCATTCTACAACCCGTCCTACGTTTGCTGAGAGGTTCACACAATCATCTATGTTCTCAACGAGGCAGTATAGTTTTAGATCATCAGTATACAAAAGGAAATATACATCTATAACATCTGCAATATCGTAAATGAAGATATAAAGAGTAGCGGTCCCAGATTTGACCCTTGTGGAACACTGGAAGAAGCACTATATTCGGTAGATTCGAAACCATTGAGCTGAACATATTGTTTTCGATCCCATAGATAGGACTGAAAGAGTGCGATTAGGGATGGAGATAATTCAAAGGCTACTAGTTTGTTCAGTAGAATGCCATGGTCAAGCCTGTCGAAGGCCTTGGAAAATGTAAATAACATCAGTTTGGGCCCTATTGTCAATAGATTCAGCAATATGTTGGGTTACAGTCAGAAGATTGGTGACCGTTGAACGATTTTTGATAAAACCGTGTTGGTGTATACTTATATTGCAACTTACATGCCGACATATAACTCGCTCCAGAGGAATCTCAAAAACCTTTGCAAAGTTGCAGATAATAGAGATAGGCCGATAATTTGAAATACCTCGTCCATCTCCTTTCTTGAAAATGGGACAGACTTTTGATGATTTCCAGATCCTTGGTATTGTAGCCGATCTTAAGCACATATTAATTAGTATATATGGATGAATGGGTACGTGAACAAACAAAACTGTCAAATTTGACACGATACCAATCCACATGAAACAAAAGAGCGCCCAATGCATCCCGAAAAAGTCACTGTGTATCAATCGTGGTATTAGTCGGGAAATTATTCCTGTAGGCGTTTGCGAGATTCTACTTTTGAGAAGTTGAAAGAGGTGAATGTTTCGAATTCAATTCCAGAATATTCCTAGGACTATATTCATGTTACTGTTATTATTATTGTATAACTATTTTTTCAGGAGCTGGAAGGAAGGTGAGATACTTGTTTTTGATGATAGCTACGAACACGAAGTTTGGCACAATGGAACTGAATTCAGATTGGTACTTATCGTCGACGTTTGGCACCCTGAACTAACCCCGTCCGAAAAGAAAAATCTGTCCCCTATTTAATTTGTGGTTATTCAACTATAGATTTAAGAAAAATTGTAGATAATTGAGATAGGGTAATAAATATTTTTAGTTAATGTCTTGCTGGTTCACTTATAAATAATTGAGGTTGAATATTTGGCACGACTTATTAAGAAAGTTTATACATATAGTCTGAGTTGATAATGTAAAGTACTTGCTGGACTTGACAGTCCATCCAGCAGGCACGCTACAAACAAAATTTTAAAAGACTATAATGACTGAAAAAACATTATTTCAGTATTGGGAAGTTATATTCTCGTGGTTTCTTGTGCTTCACGTTGGTGAAAGTAATTTATTTTACTTATTCACTAGTTTCTCATGTCTATAATTAACACACTAAAATTACTCTCACAAATTTACAATTGGATATCCCTAAACACAGAAAACCCCAAAAAAATGAACATAACCGATGTTAGGATGGATTTTTACCAAACGGACTCGCTTGCGACTAGTTACGTTTTCATAAACGGAAACAAAAAAACTTGTGTCAGTTTCGAAAACAAACTCGAAACGTGAATTCCACTAAACAGACAGAAACTAGTCTTTGAGTCACGTGTTTTGTTGTGCTTCAACTGTCCATTCCTTTTTTTTCGCTCATGTTATTCAAAGGAAAATCAAATCTCACTGAAACCTTTTCATCTTACTGTCTTCCAAGGATACATTTCATTGTTGACAAAAACAGTGGCACACGACACAAGGTTTTCAAAATGTTTCTCGTTTTGAAAACTAAAGTTTTTGTTTTGTTGAAAACTACACAGTTGCTGTTTTATTGTGGTTTCTGTCCGTTGTCCGCCACTAAACATTTAGTTATTCGAATTAGCTGTGTAGGGTGTTGAGACTGGCCTGAACGAATTGTTCTTTTAGATGATTTGATTTATAGCCAGTCTTCAAGTATGCCTACTGACTGTACGTGAAAGATTCATTTCCTTATACGAGGAATTGGGCAAATTTCGGATATGCAGTTGGTTACCTCGTTCACAGGCAGATGGGGCGACGACAAACCTGTTGTTTGTTGTAGTCTTCAGCTTAGTTCGAGGAATGATACTCTGACGGAATTCGATTTTCAATTATCGGAAATCATATAGTTCTTCACCCCTGAAGTGTAAAAATATGTCATTGTTCTTTTAGATTATTAGCTGTTTGAGTAGCGCCATCGGCCACCATTGGTAAAAAATAAAATCTCCCCTATAAAATGTTGACACAAAATTTAAATAAACAACTATTTACTATTCAACAACACATTGGCAAATTGATCCGGTATTTTCTACATTGAAACTTCAATTAGAAGTGTTGGAATCACTGTTGTTAACCGCATCTCTGAGGTAAACTGCATGCATACAATTGAAAAACTGGGAAATCTACAAATTTCTATTGTTATGTATTATTTAATGGTAGTAATAAATAATACACATTGTGGAACTAATTATTTTTACTGATTTGACATATTGAATAACTGTCAACTTGTCAGGAAAATCTTGCCCTGAGTAGTAAACAGCATGTGTCGGTCAACAGACCATAAACTCCTTAACTTATGCAAAAAGTGGAGTTAAATGTCGGTAAAACAGATCATAGCATTGAGCTAACTTATACAAAGGGTGAAATAGAATTGATCTACTTACTGTATCTGCTAACGCCATCTATTGAATTAATTGACAATTTCTTAGCTCGAAATTGGTAGGCTTTGCAGAGTTTGAATGTGGACTAAGCAGTAAACAAAATGGTTAGCACTATATCTTGAATGAAAAAAACTGAAGATGTGGAAGCCTAAACTATAAACTGAAAGGATTTTCCAAAAATTCTGTGAATCTACAGAAATAGCAAAAGGCGCCACTTACATTAAGTTTAAGTGAATAAGATGAATGGAGAATGTTCCTCCTGACGAAAATCAAGTAGTTTTCATAAAAGAGCCCTAAAACAACGTATTTTAAACTTATCATTTCAACCTTTTTCTTTAAAAAATTATTTAAATACTTAAAAATGAGGAATGAAATAATGCATTCAACATTTAAAGGAATTCGTTTCTATTTCACCATTTGGCAACATCGGTTATAGCTAATAAAGGACAATGAATCTGTTACCTGTATGATACAAACAAAGATGACATATTTCAGAGGCGTGCTGTTCTGTTTACTTATGTTCCGAGTTCCGAGACATTCTGTGACATATGACATTTTGTGCACCTAACCTATCTTCCTCTATATAAATAAATAACAAAACAACTGTTGTTTATCTGGCTTGTGGAGGTGGTATTGAACTGTAATTTATATTTTGCCTTGATATGACACTATTGACATGATTCTTCTTCTTCTAGCGTACTACTAACCTGAAATCCGATCTAGCATTCTAGGCGCTGTTGCCAATATGTGAATTAGAAACAAATCCCTTTAAAAATCATAACCCAACATTTGAAACATCGATTTGAATACTTTTCGAAGTTAATTTGAAAAACTCATGAATTAAACTCGACTTTATTTTGTTCAAACTTGCATTTGCTGTAATAACCCAAATTGAGGAACATTCCCCATTATGATGAATGAAGTTCACAGTCCATCAGACAGGCTACCAACAAATTTCGAGAAAGGTGCTTTGATTGTCTAATGAAAAGATGAAAGTGGAATTTGAATTGAGGGTTTGTCCTCTTATTTTTGCGAGGTTATGTGAATCAGTGAACTGTGGCAATTAGTTTTTCATTTAGTAGTTACAATCTAATTAGTGTCATAATCACAGAACTATAACTTAGAGGTCTTAATAGACGCATTTATGCAAAATTTTTGTATTATGTTAGGAATGACACGTTAAAAGGCAATACCTCGTTAATCCTTAGCTCGCACAATTTTCGACTTCTGAGGGTTGTCGTTCGTAGGGGTGCGACAGGTGATTAACGGAAAAACAGATATTTGATTCAATCAGTTCATTTTGATTAGGACAGTGATTGAAATTGCGACAATGACCCTCTGTGAGACTTATGATTCATGCATAGTAACACCTAGTTGTTAATTTCATAGCTCAGTTTATTCACTGTTGGGAAAAAGCGTTTTACCCCTGTGAAACTCTGTTTTGGTAGCCAAGTCTTCAACTTATTCATCATTTTATCGGTTTGAAGAAAATAATCAATAGAAAAACAACAAGAAAGGTTTAAAAAGTATATTGCAAAAAATAATTTACATATCTACAGGCAATAACCGAGTATAAAGTAGTTTTTCAGCTCAATTAAAAAAAACCATTATTTCATCAGAAAATATTTCCTCCTTAAGAAACGGGGTGAAAAACTTCGTAGACGTCATCATGTGCAGGAGTTACACTAACAGAGCAGAAAACCGAGGATTTCGAAAGTTCCACTAGTTTTAGAAAATCAATTGGATATTGATAATAAACAGGAACTGAGACCAGAGTACAGACCATTTCATGTGTGGAATTGCATAAGATTCAGCTTCGAGAGGCCTGTACAGACCTTTATGTCAATGTAATGCACATTTCATTACGAGATGTCATGCTGAATCATCACTTAGATTTGGATATCATCCGTCTCCACCTAATTTCTCTGCAAATGATAGTCCTACCTTATTGGCCTATCGGTGTACCAAGTCACTTCCATTGGCTAGACATCCTGAACCAATTGATTGCAATTATTTTGCATCAATGAGAATACCTAAAGAATACGGTCCGTTTCAAGAATACCAAAGGCGAATGAGCAAACTCAATGGAGAAGAATCAAAAACCAAGACGGGAAATTACTTCTCTATGCCTATGCCGAAAGTTAATTGTCCCACAGCAACTCAACACCTGCTACTGAACTACCTACCAATAATAATAATATGAGTATGAGAACACATAAAGTATATCATCAAATTACGACACTTCAGTTGTTGACAATCCAAAATGGCATTTAGCATAATACAATAGAGAAAACATTTTATGGATCACCCTCCAAATGATCACCTAAAATAGTTCTTCACCCCTGAAGTGTAAAAATATGTCATAAAAATTCACAAACAGAAAACATCTGGTTTCTCTTGTACTATACCTCTTACAAAACTTTAGAAAAGTGAATACTTTCATCTGAGGTAGTTCTGTTATAATGCAAGAGTATAGACACTTAAAAATTTCCATAGCAAAAAATGTATGAGTACAGATCTAACGCTTTCCGATTATTATAGGCCCCTAGTGAAATTTATTTGAATAAAAAACCTTAAAAAATATATGGAAAACAAACTCTAATAAATTTAAATATTGTCAATAACATTATTATTGTTTCAGTTCTTGTTAATCTAGAACATTGTTCGTTTAGAAGACTGAAGATAACGATGTCTCCAGACCCACCTAAAAGAGCGAAATCCCCGTTTGGACTGACTGAAAGTTATTCAGTGCTGCAATTATACAAAATATTTTGCGTCTGGCAATATTTCGTGTTAGAAACTTCTTGCCGTTTTATGAAAGTTTGTTTTCCTCAATTAAAAAGTATAATGTATACTTGCCCAAGAGTCTGGATGCAATCAAATAAACTTAGCATTTCACTCTATATGCAAAAAAGGTCATGAAACAAGGTGCATTTGAAAACTAGCTTAATATGTTTCATTTTCAGTATAAATATAATTGCTAAACGATTTATGCAATAAAATACCGCCGTTACGTATATATCTACATATTAATACATCCTAATTTGTTTATTGCATGTACAAGTTGGGGTATTTTATTGCAAAAATCACTTCTGAGTATGTTCAATTAACATTTTCTAATAAGTTGTCCCATTCTATTGGGACACCAAACACTTCCTGCTCCAACCATAGATGGTAGTGTTTTTTAAAGCTTTCAGAAAGGTCATGGCTGGTTCCTAGGACACTATTCAGACAATTGTCTACTGGTTCAAAATCACTATCCTGAAAAAAAACACAAACGGTAGAAAGGGAGCAGCTTTTTGAAATTCAAATCCAAATGGAAGTTACCGGATTTCTGGCTAGACCTGTATTATCATAATATGAATGAGAGAAAAGCATATACTCTTGGGGCAATAAAAAATTAGATATGCGTCATCATTACCTGAAGCGTTACTTTATATATCATCTCTCACTTTTACATACAGAGTGGGCCATTGAAAACTTGACATGGAGATTTTGGGTACTAATCTTGCAAATCCTAAAAAACGCTCAGACAGGTCGATTTTTTTTTGGGAGGGTCGTCAATTCAACTCCGGAGCAGAGGGGTGTACAACCCTTGTAATTTTTAAAAGAAACTGGGGGCGAGTCGCACATCGTTTGAAAGATCTTGGAATTTTATAAACAACGGTGTACATTTGTTTAAATTTGGACGAACTATATTAAATTTAGAGTTGAAGTTACTTACTTCATTCTCATGTTAGCATATGCTCAAAATGGGCACCTCCAACTTCCATGCAAAGAGATTCTGCTGGAAACGTTCTCGAACATTGTGGAGCATTTCTGGAGTGACTTGGCGACATTCATTTGTGATCCGTTGCCGTAAATCTTCAAGTGATGCAGGAGGAGCACAATAAATTCTGCTTTTCAAATGACCCCACAGAAAGAAATCTAACGGCGAAAGGTCTGGTGATCGTTGTGGCCATTCGATAATGCCCCGCTTCCCAATCCAGTGATCCGGAAAAGTTTGAAGTAAAAACTGCCGAACAGGCAGAGCATAGTGCGGAGGAGCCCCATCTTGTTGAAATATTAACAGATCCTCCCGATAATTGTGGTCATTTTCAATAATATCAGCGAGTAGGGGATTGATAGTATCTTCCAGAAGCTCCAGATACATTTGTCCGGTTGAATTGCCTTCTAAAAACAATGGGCCAACAATATGGTCACGAAAAGTCCAGCCCATACATTTAACTTTTGTGGACACTGAGTATGCACTTCATGAAAAATGTGAGGATTTGAATCAGCCCAATAGCGACAATTATGGCGATTAACTGTGCCATTTAAAAAAAAAACACTAATCACTGAAGCAAATGTTGAAAACAAAATGTGGATTTTCCACCGCTCATTCACTAACCAACTCGCAAAATTGCAAGCGTCAATCGAAACCATCTTCATTCAGTTCTTGCGTTAATTTAATCTTGTAAGGATGCATTTTGTGGGTTTTTAAAATACGCCGAATGCTAGTTCGAGACACCCCGGAAACAAATGCTAACTTTCTTGTGCTCAAAGTATGGTCAAGCTTAACATGGCCCAGAATTGCCACTTGTGTCGCCTCATTTGTTACTGGTGGTTCGATTTGCCGTTTTTTTTTATTTGCTACAGATCCAGTTGCGCAAAATTTTGCAATTAAATCGAAAACATACTGTCGCGACACATTCTTCCCATGTTGTTGATTGAACAGTTCAGCGGCTCTCGCAGCACAGCGTCTATTTCCATAGCACAGTTCAATCAAGTCAACCCTGTCTGCAGTTGTGTAAACCATCGTTTCTTTAGCAACACTTTACGGCACTCACTACTACTAATAATGTAGATATCACTTTTAACAATAAAATGAGAAATAGAAACAGCATTTTTAACCATTTCTTAATGTAATAGTCCTCTTACCAGAGAAGAACTACAAAATTAACGAAAAAGTAGCGTAAGAAACAAATGAAAGAGTTCCAAATACATTCCAACTGAGCAGTGGCGTACAAAAATTTGTTGCTATCAACAATATTAAAGAAGTTAATTATCGGAAAGAACTCTTTTAAATATGTCCAAATTTAAAGAAATGTACACCATTGTTTAGAGAATTCCAAGATCTTTCAAACGATGTGTGTCTCGCCCCCTGTTCCCTATTAAAATTCCAAGGGTCGTTCACCCCTCTGTTCCAGGGTTGAAGTGACGGCTGTAAATAGGGAAAAAACTGTTCCCCTCCCAATAAAAATCGACCTATCTGAGCGTTTTTTGGATTTGCAAGATTAGTACCCAAAACCTCATGTCAAGTTTTCGATGACCCACCCTGTATATGATAGTCCTGAACTATCATATCATGTCGTCGGTCTAATCAAATCAAAATATGCTTTATTTTCCATAAATCTAACTGACAAAGCGTGTTATATAGAATGGATAGTAAGTATAAACATGAAACCTAAATATATAAGTAATATACATACAAACATAAATATAAATCAAAATGTAATTATAAATACATAGATATAGAAATAAATACAATTATTAACATAACAGTAATGTGGTATCATCCGCAAACATTGTAAATGATCCTCGAATGTCGAGTTTACTGAGATCATTCAGATAAACAAGGAAAAAGATTGGCCCAAGAACTGAACCCTAAGGAACACCACATTCAATATTTGAAGGATCAGAGAACTTATTATGGAAGTTGAGTTCTGTTGAGTTCAAATGGTAAATTTAGTAATATTTTGACAGATATTTCATCCATACCAGAAGTCTTTTTGTTTTTAATATCCGATAGAGTTGCTGGGAGTTATTCAATGTTAGTATTACATAACTTAAAATTATCTGATATGAGTGTGTCCTTGAGGTAATGCAAAGGATCTACTGAGGGTATTATGCCTGAGCTTAGATTTTTACCTATCGTGCAATAGAATTCATTTAGAGTATTGATGGATTCAGAGAAATACAAACATTCTCTCCAATTTATTGATTAGGCAAGTTCTCTGAATTTTGCAAAAATTGTTTTACTAAAGATTCTGCCAAATCTATTTTTTTTTAACTTCATCTCCATGAAAAATGAATTACTTTATCACTATAAGACTTTGTACTTACATTCACTTGAGTATATCTACGGTTATTGAATCTATCCACAGACGCCCTAAGAGCACACTCTTCTGCTTGGAAATCCCAAGGCCTGGCATCTAAATCTGGAACACATAAAAGAGTTGCATACAATTTGCGATATACATCCTCAAAGAAGTCATACCATTTCCAAAGGCCCAGTCATCGTTGAGGCGATGCCTGACTTTTTGGTAGATGGCGCTTATTGTCTTCATATTGGATTTTCTCCATTGCCTTCCCAAATATTTGGTCTGCATTTTGAGAAGCTTCAATACATACAGTTGAGTCATGGCGTGTCTGACTTTCAGTGTACGTTTCAAGATTGGGGCAGACTTGAATACGACAAGCATCTGTGAAAAATCAGGTTTATGAATCCAAATTTAAATGATTTATATAGAATGATTGGTGAAACTTTTTTTAATGGATTTTTTGTTAACCAGCTGTCATTCCCATTTGAACCCTCAGAAGTTAACGATGGTGAGCTGGTTGCTGCAATGTTTTGTGACTTAACGAAGCAAATGATTCCTTAAATCGAGAAATATTGCTAATGGAAACTGTTTTGGATTCAAAAGGCCATGTATAAATTAGTCTCAATTGAATCTTGCGAATTAAGAACAGTCGGTGAAGAGAACTTACTTGTAACATACAAAAATATTCTTTGTTATGTGCTACAAGGCTCTGGTACTCTCTTCCCCTATTTCTTGGCACATACTTGACTAAAATATCATTCATAATATCGAGTTTTTGAAAAAATGATTCCACACAAATATTCCAGTGTGTAATAATCAATGTGCTGACTTTTCGTAGTAATTCTGCGTCTTCATTTTCATTGAGCGATGGACTTATAAAAAACACAATAAGTAACTACTGAGATATGTCGGAGTTACCGATAAAGTAAGCTGAATTCTAAAGAGGTACAAGGTAAGAACATTCTTCACAGCAAAAAATCAAATCTTCACCCTTTTACGAACTCCCAAAGACACGATACGAAACCACGTTCTATCTGCCCCTGAACTTACATCGGCCAGACCAATAGAAAAATTTCCAACAGAGCCTACGAACATGAACTACCTGTTCGCAAATCAGATTCAGCTTCATCCTTCTTCACATGTCATCATGAGACAGGCCACACAATAAAATTTGAAAACACCAAAACCCTTCAGACCAGGATGTTCCGCAAAACTTTCGAAATTAAAAACGTCCCAACTGCCTCAACAAGCGAGATAATTCACAAAGATCACCTCATTCATGAAGATCAACGACAAGACTTAGGGAGTGGGCAGATTGAGACCTCGGTGTCAAGTCACAAAACTCTTGAAGCATGTCACTACCTGAGAAGTAGGCAGATTGAGACCCTTGCAGAGACCAGCAATGAGACCTGAGGAGTAGGCAGATTGAGACCCTTGCATAGACCTGCGAAGTTGGCAGATTGAGACCTTGGCGTCAAGTCACAAAACTTTTGAAACGTGTCACTACCTGAGGAGTATGCGTATTGAGACCCTTGCAGAGACCAACGATGAGACCTGGAGAGTGGGCAGATTGAGACCCCAACGTCAAGTCACAAAACTCTAAGCTTATCACTACATGAGGAACAGGATATTACAGATCTATCTATCTATCAAAAATATCAATCTTATTAAAAATTAATAATTACCATAATTCGAGAATGCTTCCACTTAGTCAACTTATTCAATATCCTGAGTAAATTTATACAAGAGAACATGTTTCTCCAAGAGAACGTGGTGGAATCTCCGATTTCAAGGCTTTCTGATGTGAGTTCTGGCTGATCGCCAATAACACAAGAAGGGAAATCCAGAATTGGAATACTGAAAAATACAAATGATTTCCAACCAATCAACTTCGACCAATAACAGCTACTTACGCGTTTTTAGCTCCAACGTAGGCCATAATATTCTGATTGAAAAATTTCAAAACAAGCGGTATACAGTTGGCGAATACCAAGTGCTGCGACATGAACTCGAACTGGTAGATGTGATTCAACTTGAAATGTTTCAACAACAACAATAAAATAGCACTGACAGCCTTCACTATAATTTCCTTGTGTCTGTTGACATCGATACCAAGTTTCATAGACTGCAAAACGGTCATACTAAAAAAGCAAATCATTAACATTTTTGGAGGATTTCCACTCAGCCAACTCACGGCATTTCTTCCGGTAAAACATCTGCCATGATGTTTATTGAATCTGTTTTGGCTTTTGAGGTGGGTGCGGCAGCTAACAAAATCTTCAATAAAGCAATCATATATTGTGGCAGGTTTGGCAGCATTGCTTGGTAGAGTATTTCCGATGGAGTCATTTCGATTTCACCTTCACTTATAGAAATTGGATTTCGAGCTATCTCCTCCTCCTTTTGAATTTGGAGTTCCGACAGAGAAGTGTAAATATGCTGAAAAAATAGTCCATATATGTTGCATGAAAAGTCATATGAAGATTATTTTCTGTTTGTATCCTGAATATATAAATAAATAAATTGTTATTACTCGTTGCGGTTTTTTGTGAAACCTTTCATAGTGAAAATCTTACAGTAAACTGTGTTAGTTCAGAAAGTTTTCTACTTCGAGAGCTCATTTTTTTGTGGCCATGACCATAATAGAAACATTTCTTTTCTTGTAGACCCAACTGAATTTCTTGAAAGATAAATCTGACTATAATTATGGACAAATATCCCTTCATGTGAATTACCACTCTCAGTTATCCGAATTTATATGCCCTAAGAACATTTTCATTTGATTCAAAACTAACAGACTGAAGATTTATCAAAATTTTTGTTCACGAGTCAATATTCCTCTTCCAAGATCAATTCGTAACGGAACGGATTTATAATTCAGTTCAAAACTCACCTCCTTAAGAGTCTTCACTCCTTCATGAATAGGTTCAGGCAAACCAAACAAAGTGGTTCTATCGCCAGGAAGACTATAACCCAAAAACTTGAGTCTAGCATTATCTAAGAATATGTCGATGTCTTTCTGACGCACCTTGGGTTTCCAAGGTAATCCTCTGGGAATAATCAGAGCATTTGGGGTAGGTGGTGATATAGGCCTATAAGTATCTACATTGTTTCGGTAAATCTGGTCATTGGGTTCATTCGCAGGTCTACGCTCATCATACTCAGAAAGTTCTTCGTCATTATTTTCTCCAGTTATGGTAGAGTCGAGTTCAATTCCCATTGAATCTTGATCATCTAAACTACTCTGCTTCATCAGGCTCTATAAATATGAATTATTTAATTCATTTCATACAAAAAATTAATGTAAAAATTTTCATTTCTGATATATTTCCCATCAACACCATATGAAAATTACAAATTTGTATGAAATATTGATAATCCACTAAGGACATAATGGAAAGATTATCATTTGGATATCAAAACATGTCAATATAACGAAATTATGTCAAAATTATATTCCATGGTGAACAACAAATTAGGAATGGGTGCTAGGAGACTTGGCATTACATGCCAAAAAAAGACTATGAGAGTAGACAGATCACCAACTCTAGGTAATCGAATGCCACAAAAAACTAGTGAGTGTAGACACATCAACTGCAGAATCACATGCCACAAAAAGCTTGTCAGTGTAGACAGATCATCAACTCAAGGTAATCACATACCACAAAAAGCTTGTGAGTGTAGACAGATCAACTCCAGGTATTCACATGCCACAAAAAAAACGCCTGTGAGTATAGACAGATCATCCACTTCAGGTATTCACGTGCCTCAAAAAAACCTGAATGTAGACAGATCAACTTCAGGTAATCACATGTCACAAAAAGCTTGTGATTGTAGACAGATCAACTCCAGGTATTCACATACCACAAAAAAGCCTATGTGTAGACAGATTATTAACTCCAGCTAATCACATTCCACAAAATGCCTGAGTGTAGACATCAACTCCAGGTAATCACATGCCATCAAATCCAGATGAAGAAAAAGAGTTGATGAAACAAAAAGAATACAGAGAAAATATACAACGAACCTACAACAGAAAAACTTTTATGAAGGAACCACCTGAGAAAAGAACTGCTTCAGTAAAGGATTGATTCAAAAAATTACAGAGCTTCTCATTTTACTTTATCTATTCATTTAGGGAACACCTGAACAAAATAGGGGTGCATAAAAAGAAGAACTCAAGTATAGATAATGCTACAAAGGGACAGAGACAGCCCGTCACGTTTTATGCAAATATAGGCATCAGATCACAAAAAGCCTGCAATTTATGGACAACCAATAATAATGACACATTTATTGCTCATCAAAAAATAATTAAAACAAAGCCATTTGACGTGCAAATGGCTTTTCGTTCAGATAAGGAATAGAAAGAGAAAGGAAGAAAGAAAAAAAGGAAAAGATAAGTGAAGATACTAGAATAGAAAAACGTCGATAAAGGGCTGAAGAAAATAATTTCTATCAATTTATTAACTCTGAGTCTAGTGTTGAATATGTAAAACGGATACTGGAAACTATTTCTGAAAACAGATATGAACATAAAACTGCCTGCATGTCCATGCAGACAGCTGTAGCTGCCTAAGTGGACATCTTAGTCATTTCCTACACATACCACAGATGAGAAGCTTCAGCCTTTGTAGGAAACAACTAACATGTCCGTAGACTTGGTAGCTGTTTCCTACAGACAACCCACAAATGTGTTTTCAGTTAGAAGTCCTAGCAGGTAGCTGTAGCTGCCTACTTGGACACCTTAGTGGTTTCCTACACAAACCACAAATGTGCTTTCTGTTAGAAGACCTTGCCTTAGTAGGAAACAATTAACATGTCCACGTAGGCACCTACAGCTACCTGCGTACATGTTAGTTGTTTTCTTCTAACTGAAAGCGCAAATGTGTGGTAGGCTCCGTTGCTAACCCCTTTAATGTGTTGTTCCCTGTTTTAAGCAACCAGGTGTTGCCTATCCATGCACTTGGCTGCATCGCACTGATGAGGTCAATAGCCAGAAACACGTATCCGTGGACTGACAACTTTCATATTCAAGATTTTCTACCCTAAACATTTTTTTTGAGAAAAAACTGTGTGCTGTGAGTAAATGCAAAATGATGATTACCCTTCTGAATGGCTTGGCATTTCTCTTCTGATTTTGGGCTTCAAGAAGATCGGATGCGCTAGCAGGTGGTGATGAAGACCTCATTGTTTTTGCGATCTCCATTGTGTCTTCAACTTGGGGTGATAGTTCAGCCTTGGTTCTTTTTTCAATTTTCAATTCCTTTAGAGTTGCCATGCCCCCTAAAGAAACCAGTATGAGTTTCCATAGTAGCAATAAAACTTTCTTCATGGGAAAATGTGGAGCTGATCCACTACAGAATCTTGTTACCATACTTAGGAGTTTCACAACTAGTAAATCATCTGTGGAAGAGTATGCTGAAAAAAAAACAATTTTGACCTTGTTCCTAAGAACAGAGTGATGACTTTACCTACCTATTTCTTTGCAAAAAGAATCAACTTCCTCCCGATATTCAGTTGAATTAGAATCCTTCTCATTTCTTATCACTTCTGTTATTGTATACAAAACAGATAGAATAACTCGCAAATCCTGGGAATCAGCCAAGGAAATTGCAATTTTTCTCATCGCTACATGTGCTGCCGTGCTGTTTCTGAAAAAAAAAATCAACAGTTGACTACGATAGATATTTTTGAAAATACAATAAAACCTTCAATCAATATACGTGAATGCTTATTTTAACAACTCATGATCATTTTTGAAAATCTTTTATTAGATCCACATATTTTTTCCATCTGATTTTGGATCTGGAGTACAATAAAATTGACAATGGTTGAACACAGATTGGACTCTTCTGTGACTTATAAGGGCTTTTAGGACTACGCTCAAAAAATTCTGTACTTGTATAACATTAAATGGAGATGACTTAGCTGTTTTTAATAGATCACCAAGGCATTGACACTAAGTAGGATGACTAAGGGAGATGGTTTTTCACCAATTAACTGCTTGCCAATATTATAAAAACAGAAAATCTAATATTTCATAATGATAACATCTATTGATCTTCAGGAACACACAGTTTATAGATAGATATGTCACCAGGTGACATATCTTAAATCAGTCCAAAATTAAAAATTAAACAAAAATAACACATTGAAATTTTGACTTGATAAACAATCAAAACATGCATCTTAGTATAAAATTTCTACTTCAGCCAATCAATTCAAACAAATCTCTAATTCTTTTGATTATTTATTTATTTACGGACTTGCCATTATACAATGAATACATAAATAGTGTGATTGAAAAAATAAACAATTGAATAATAATATAGAATACCATAAAAGAAGCAGAATGTCCGAGTACTCATAGTCGGACCTCAAATAACCGAGCTTAAATGCACAGCACCTCAGAAATTTGTTTTGGACTTTCTCAATCACAGATATATCTGTCTGATATAGAGGACTCCATATCACACAATTATTTTCCAAGACCGAGCGTACCAAGGAACAGTATAATATTTTAAAGGTATTTATAGAAAATTTATCTGTAGATCGTTGAACAAATCCCAATAATTTGAGTGATTCAGATGTAATGTGATCGATATGACCTTTAAAGGTTACTTTGCTATCAAACAACACTTCCAAGTCCCGAACCCTGTTAGTCGACGTTAGATTAATGCTTTTGATTTTATATGGATATACAATATGTTTCACAGCTCTTGAAAATGTTATTTGACAACATTTATTTATATTTAAATGAAGCATATTTTCATCACACCAACGAGATAAGTTATTTAAATCTATCTGTAACAGTTCTGCATCATAAAAGTTAAAGTTTGAGATCATCTGCAAACATTGAATAATAGCTGTGGCATATGACATCCGACACATCGTTTACAAAAAGAATGAAGAGTATTGGACCTATATGCGATCCTTGAGGGACACCAGACGTTACAGGAATTTGTGATGATATGGAACCAGCATATTTAACATACTGAATTCTATTATCCATATAACTCTTTATCCATTTTGACATGTTACTATTGATGCCAAATGCTAGGAGCTTAGCCATGAGAAGATCATGATTTACCCTGTCAAAGGCTTTAGAGAAATCAGTATAAATAGAGTCAATTTGGTGTTTTTCCTCTAGGTTATTCAAAAGAAAATATTGATAAAGCAATAAATTCGTAGTGGTGGATCTACCAGATATAAAGCCATGTTGGTGTTAATTTATTATGTTTTTTGTATCGAATGTCAGTTTTTTAGTTATCAAACAATCCAGCAACTTGGGAATTTCCGATTGCTTGCTCACTGGACGGTAGTTTTTAATATTTTCTTTATCACCAGATTTGTGGATTGGAGTTAGAAAACTTTGTTTCCAGAATTCAGGGAAGATTCCCATAGATAAAGAAAGATTAAATAATGTTTGTAAGGGTTTTGCTAGAGTGAATATGCAGTTTTTTAAAAATTGCAAAGGAATTCCATCGGGACCAGGTGCGAGTTTTTCTGGGGTTATCATGAGTTGATTGATTATTTCTGCTGTTTCAATATAGTAGTTGGAAACATGTAAACTCTCTGTGCATTTGTATTGCGGAATTTGAAAAACCTTTTCGTCAGAATAGGTAGTAGAAAAATAATTTGCGAAAAGATTAACAATACCATTGTTACTATTGCAAGTGATATCCTCCAAATACATAGTTGATGGTAAGTTATATGATTTTTTTTTATTGTTTATATATTTCCAAAAGCTTCGAGAATCATTTGGAATAGCATTTTCGATTTTTTTAATGTAAGATTCATAGCAATGCCTCTGAACTTCTTTACGTCTAATTTGGAGGTCAGCAAATTGATGGTAGTGCTCAATGCACCCTGTACTTTTGTATCTTTTATGAGATTTTTCTTTTCTATTAATTGTTTTCTCAGTTCAAAATTATACCAGACGGGAAAGTTATTTAAAAAAACATATGGAGTCTACCTCACATTTGTGGTTTGTGTAGAAAACAACTAACATGTACATTCAGGTAGCTGCAACTACACAAACCACAACTGTGCTTTCAGTTAGAAGACCTTGCCTTGGTGGGAAACAATCAACATGTCCACGTAAGCAGCTGCAGCTACGTGTTACGAGCCCTTTAGACAAATTGTTACCCAATATACCTTAAACTTACTCAAATTCGATATTCAGGAGATCGGTGAAGGCCGTGAACACACCTAGTCGATAAAGCAACATTGAATTACACTTGGCCCATTCCTGTTGTTCTGCATCTGACTGCACTTCAGCCCAACACCCTTGTGAGATGTAGAGTAAACATCTAGCACTCCGCATTCTCAATGGTTTGCTGGTAACTTCTAGTTGATCAAGCAATTTCAAAACTACCGACTTTCTCTTTTCAGAAGACAGTTTCTGCCAACTGGGTGGTAAACTGAACGTTTCCATTTGGTCTTCAAACGCTTTGACATTAAGTTGCAGTTCTGGCTGTTCCGTATAGCTATACAGTTCTGCGATTTCGTTAATGTGACTATCGGTATCATTGTAGATGAATTCCAGGTCTGGAGAGTCTGCACCGTCCCCCTAAAACAGTGGATGTTCAGAAAAGGTAAGAGAAGGATCAAAATTCAGGGTGGATTCATGCATCAGACTTGACTTGTCAAAGTTAAAAGTAATTTATTCATCTCTTTAAACTCCTGTATAAATATAAACAAAAAAAGTTCATAAAAGTTTGTGGGACTAGTCAAAAAAAAGTTTGAAATTCACAAAATACATAACATACATTAATGAATGTTGTACATAAATGAATACAATAACAAAACTACGAAAAAAAAAAGAAAATAAAACATTATATCACATTAAGGAATTCCTCTGTGGAATAAAAAGCCATGTTTAACAAATATTCTGATGAAAATTTCAATTTCTTTTTCATATGACCAAAAATATCTATAAATTCATTATAGAATTTGTTGTAAATGACGTGAATTTTGAGAACCCACAGTTAGTCTAGAGAAAGGTCGATTAAGATGCTGTTCCGAGTATTGTAACCATGTATATCGTTATTTCCTTATGTTCTTCAATATCCATTATTAGTAAATATATGTAGAGAGATGGCAATGTCATAATACCCAATTCTATAAAATACAGCCTGGATCACTCATGAAATTGGGGTTGTGAATATATTTACAATGAAGGACCCAGGATTGATCCCTGAGGTACACTAACACAGGTTTCTTGTTTTATATTTTCCAATTATCCCATTGTGTCCTCTAAGTAAGATACGATTTTTTTTATTTATTAGCTGTACTTCAAACTTTTGAATGATTACGTTTTTCAAAAAGAAGAGCATGATTGATAGCATCAAGGTCCTTGTGAGATCAAAAAAATTGTTATCAGCGGTAACTTATTATTACCTTCATATACAACATATAAAAAAGTATTGGAAAGGTCGAAGGCAATTTACAAAACCTTTCTTTGTGAAAATGAATAGAACAGATCATCAGCTGGAAAGTTTCATTTCTGAGCTTTGAAGACATCGTCAAATGAAGTGAAGGCTCCTCAGAGATATATTCCATACAGTAGTCTGAACTCAACCAAACCGAAACATAGAAACACCAGAGTCTTTTGTGATACAGAAAAAGTTTATGAGATTATTTGATTTAGTCGACAGACAATCATGAAGGAGGACATTTACATTTCTAAGAATGAAAAATTTACAAAGAAAGCGAGTAAATACAATACACTTGAAAATCACTTCCAGTTGCATCTCATACTCAGATCACAATACAAAAAGTCACCTCTATACTGGGGCATACTTATTACGACAAACATCGAACAAAAACTATGGGAACCTTCCAAAGAAAAGAAGAAAAAATAACTACAATAACAACTCTTCATAAAGATATATAATTTCTTTCAGATACGAACTGGAAGAAACAGAAACCCAAAAGCTTCTTCAGAAGAAAATCCAATTGAAAAACTACTCAATTAACTCCGAAACCGAAGTTAATTCCTTCTTTTTCTCATTATGTATTCATTCCAATAGTGTTACAACTTTTTGATGTGAATTTGGCTACTTTAATGCCTTTGTGTTTTTGACATATCTCATACTGTAAAAACAACCTAAGTAGACAAATATATTATCTATCTCCTATAGGTTGAGTATTTGGCTTTCGGTGAGGACAAGCCTCAGAATTCTATCCTGAAACCATCTGACCATCAAAGTTTTGAAATTCAGGTTCTCGTCAATATACACTTGTTTTTGTAGTTCATTTCCCCATCAATTCGTTTCATGGGTTAGACAAGTTTTTGTCTATTATGGAAATTCAACTAACAAATTTTTTGTAGATTCAGACATAAAAAGTAGTTCAAGAACTATACATTCATATTCAACAATAGTTGCTTACAAGAACTTTCAAAACTATCGTTTCACTTTTTCTGGTATATAACAAAGTGTTATTATCATCAAGAGGTAAAATGTAATTTATCAAGATCATTCTTTCAACAAAGAATACAGGCCCAATAACCGATTTCTGAGGGACTTCCAGGTTAATGGGTGTAGTTTTGGATAACATGCAAACAGTTATTATTTTGTTATTGAGTAGTATAAAAATTATTTGAGCCCATTGAAAACAGGCGCATAAGTTCACGATTCATGATCTACTTAGCCAAAAAGTAAGTATATGTAATTAAATATATGTGCTCATGCATGAATGTCGTGACTAAATATTGAGAACCAAGTGCACACAACTTTTTTAGCAACTTACACCTCAAGTCTATTGAAAAGTCTTTTTTATGAAGTACAACATCAGCTTTTCAGAATAAGTTAATTTTTTGTATTCCTTTGTTATATATGAAGTTTCATAGATGAATGAAAACATGTCTTTTCTCCCATAATCTTTCAATACTTCATGGTTGAACTCACAAAAAATACACCATTCCTTCAACTCTTGATTTATAAGATTAAATAACCTAACTTTTGGAAAGTCTTAGTAGTTTTATAAAAAAAACCTCTATGAAAAATGTATGAAGACTCATTATGTCAAATTTCCTGTAAATATTTGACAAGCATCATCCACAATTCAAATATTGTAATTGGATAGGATTAGCATGTATTTTCCCTGATATATTCCGGGATGAATGACTTTTTCCAGAGATAACCCTGCACGAATAGATATAATAACAGGTAAATATTTATAAACAATGGTAATAAGGTACCTACATCGGAATTGTGCCACTGACGTTGGATAATTTCCCGAAGCTTGGGCAAACCTCGCTTTCCATTGCCATTTGGGTCCATCCTGGATATACCAGCATATTTAAATCGTCATTACGTGGGAACCGCACAAAAATCAGATTTTAACCACCCATTAAAACTTCAAGTTTTATTACCACCATGAATTATGAATTCATTTGTTGTAGAGTAGAGAAAGGATGGGATTATTTACAGATTATTGACCCACGCCAAATTATGACATCTGGCGAAATTTATCTAAGTTACATGAAAGATTTCTAAAATTGTTTGTGACATTGGAATGAATCATTACAAAATTGGAATCGGCCACTTCTTTGAAGGAATCGGAAAATGGCAATCAATAAGTGAATAATGAATAAGTTTTGATGATAAACATTTTTATACAACATTTTTTTAGTTGTAATTGGCTATATTTGCAAATATGGTATGTGCTGCCATCTTCTTTTCAAAAGCTGAAACTGAATGGTGTTGAGCCCATTTTGTCAAAAATACTCAACCTACAGACTGAAGTCTCAAGATAAAAAGAAATTTTATAAAATTGTTTGTGAAATTGAAATCATTACAAAATTTGAATAGGCCACTTGAAATATTATGGAAATAGCAACACAATTTGAAAGAGTTGAGTGACAAAAACCTCGAACGCTACTTTATTTTAATTTTCATTTGCTATTCAAATATGCTGTGTGCTGCCATCTCATGTTCAGAAGCACAAGATGAATAATGTGATCTTGAACCCCTTCTTTATGTTAAATATTTTGTCAAAAATTTTCCACCTATGGCACGTTGATAAGAATTGGAGCATTCCATTCATAGAGGCGCTGGGTGCATCCCGAGTGAAACGTCAAATTGACGTTTTAAAGTTTACATTTCGAAATTAGTTATTATGGAAAAGAATTTTTACCGATGATGGCGCTACTCAAACAAGTAACAGCCGAATGTTAAACATAGGTATGTTTATTCTTTTGAGGACTTTATGTTATATAATTGTGGATTTTAGTGCATTTGGACATAAGAAACTAACGAATGGGTGAAATTGATTACTATCACTCACGGAAAGCACAAGAAACCACAACAATATTACATGAAAACCTCTGAGAGGACTTTGTTTTTGTTTTACCATTTGGCTTAGTCCGGTAGATGTCGCAAATGGTCATTGAACTTCCCAATTGTTATGATTTTCACAATTATGATTCATAAAATAAAGTTACCTGTGAACGATCATTTGTAATTTTGGTGATTGCCGCATATGTAGTATGTGTTAATACTTTCCAATTACTCCTATTTACATTGAGGAATTTGACACTACCCATGGAAATGTCAAAACAATAATCAAATTGCCCTTGTTGATTTTGCTTGATTTTCTTGCGTTCACCAGCTTACAACGGTCCCTTAATCCAGCTGGATAAATTCAGCGCAGCGCTTTTCGTTGTTTCATTTCAGATGTGACCAATGTGACAGAATTCAGTTCTAACACCGCCTGTCAACAAAGTTGGATTAATCTCTTCAATCCCGTCGAAAGTTTTCATCAAAACAAAAGCGAATCAGTAAAAACACCAGGGCTTTTATACATCTTGCAGAAATATATTCGTTGTCTATTCAGGTTCGCGCTATTGTCTAAATACTATTTGAAATAGTAATCAACTGTTACCAAATGATTTTTCATCATGCGCTAGATGGCTCTGCCAGAAGTATTTCCAAATTTTTCATATAATTTTTTAAAACATTGTCATAATCATAATCCCAAACCACACAAAGTTGTTTCGACCTATCACAGGTTTCATCAGTGGTGCTAGGCTGGAACCATTATTCAATTGCTGGACTTGACTCTCCTTAAAGGACAAGCCTGAGAAAGGAAAAATTGTTTAGCAATGATTAGCAAAAGATTGTGATTAATAGTATGAAACGCCCGGCTGGTATCTAGTAGGACTAACACCGTACATTTGTTTTCATCTATTGCTTTCATTATATCATCCGCAATATGTAGAAGGGCGATTGAACAGCTATGCCCTTTCCGAAATCCCTATTGAACAGAAGACAACAGAAAAAAGTTCAAAATATGGTTTTTAATTTGAGACCCCATGGCTCTCTCCAGGATTTTTGACAATACAGGCAGGATACTCATACCCCTCAAATCTTTAAATTCCATTGGATTTTGTGTTTTAGGTGGAGCCTTCAAAAGGCTCTCTTCCAGAGAGTTGGGCAGACATTCTCAAAGAGCTCGCCTGAACTTTCGGAGTTAGAATTTTTGGCTAACGGAAGAATATTTGCTTGCTTCCAGATGGATGTATAGGAATTAGTCGATATGCAGCAGTACAACAACATTTTGATGCTTATCTCATTAGGTCCCACAGCATTCCACTTCAGGTTTAGAATAAACTCATAGATTTTATCGTCATCAGTAGCTTTACAGGAGAGGTTGGTATCGTTTATATTAATACTCGAAAAAAAAACATAATTTCATCATCAGAGGAATGAAAGTATATGTTTCTAAAGTTTTTTTCTTTCGTGTAATTCAATGTTTAATATAATATTAAATAACTGTTTGGACAGAGTTTTTTCTTTCAGTTTATGTCTGTGAGTTTTACTCTTTGCTTGATCTACACATTTGTTTCTGTTTCTGTTTTTCCGTTAATCAGCTGTCGCCCCCATACGAACGACAACTCTCAGAAGTTGAGAAACTTGTGCGAGCTAAGGACTAACGAGGTCTTACCTTTTAAC